CGCGAATCAGCATTACCCCACTTGGTTCAGATTCTAACTACAGAAGTGAGCTTCTATTCACGCTTTAACACAGTTGTCGCCGGTAAACTCTTCGTTTAATCATCCTAATGTAACTGTGAGCAAATTGTTTGAAAGTTAGGCAAATTTGTCTGCACAAACCATTTGAATACGTTCAGTTCAGGGCCAAAGAGCAATTGTATTCAACTGTTGGCCGCAGCTCAACAGGGAAGTGACAACACCGCCCGCACAGCAACCTCAACGCCTCCGTGCAAACAGCTACCGAAGGAAACAGATGGTTATTCAAACATCTGCAGTGGCTTAGAGTTGGGTTCTGAAACGCACATACAATACGCAAATGATTTTCATTTTGATAACTATCATCCGGTTTGTCGATCTACAACGCTGCGCTAAATCCCGTGCACGCTAGCTGACCGACCGCCTGGGGGAGTGCGAAAAGTGCTGAGACACAAGAGTGAAGAAAATGGAGAATACAGTGGTTGTTGAGAGTGCTAAACTTGTCCCGCTTCCTGAAAATTGTGTCATTGTGTATTCAATAAAAGGAAGTAAAATTTTTTTTAAAGTTCAGAATTGCACTCGAGCACAGGAACTGAGCGTAAGAAATGTGATGAGATGGTTCGATGGTACACGGATTCGAGCTTAGCAACATCGTCTATAAGGTGAGGGGAGGGAGGGAGAGCACTTGGAAAGCAATTTCACACCAATATTAGCACTTCTCCGGGAGTATTATTAAAGGTTGATGCCAGTGCTGCACGATAAACGGGGCTCACCCAAAAAGAACATATTTTTACGGGTTTATAGAAGAAGTGGAAATGGATAGAAACAACCATGTGATCCGCAAAATCTGCATCTATGAACATGTTCCGGTAGGTCACGTTAGGTTTCCTGGTTGTGGATCAGCACTAACGATAAACGATGACACGGCCGAGTCTCGTAAACAGCGGCCCTTGTGCATCAACTGACTCGCCTCATTTCACTCCATTTCATGCTTTCACGGTCCTGGTATATGTTGATCTTTTTGATCACATTTGGTATCATCTTCATTGGTTGACTAGCCAAAAACTGGACGATAGAAGTGCACTGTAGTGCACTGGTGCAAACCGAAACTAAACCGATCTCTCAATTCACGTGGTCGTGGTGGTGACAGACTGCGACCAGACCCTCGTCCGTCTCAAAAATCGACACGCGTCGACTTTACCGATTCGGACACGTGCTGCTACTTCTACTGCTCTGTGCTGTCTAGTGACTGAACATCGTATCCTGGTTCAGACAGCGGTTGCTGCTCACCTCCCGAGCGGAGTGAAACCAAGCGCAGATCAAACAGACGACGCGAATGTTAGAACAAAAAAGTATTTTTCTTATTCCCCTGCACTCCGGTTGGAAGATCCTGTATACG